TCCTGAGCACAACCCCCATTGTGACAGCATTACCGGCTGCTACGCACACCTGGATGGCTATGCTGTATGTTAGGGATATGTTTTTTTATGGTTCTTCTAAGAGAAGAAGGCAAAACTGAGGTGTCTCAGGGGAGTCACACACAAGGAGACACTGAGCACAAGGACGGCCGTGCTCTTTGACCCATGATTTCTTTCCGGTTTCAAGACCCATATCTGCACAAGGATATTTAGGGCTCATGAAGCAGCAGGATGCCCACGGTCCTGGCATAATGTGGCCTGTAACATCACTCGGCTGTTCTCAGCAGCAGGCTCTAACTTCACAGCAACACGTGCCACTGTTCCAAGGCTCCCAATGTGGTTGTCATGGGCAGTGCACATGGGCAACAGCAGCTTTCTTCTGGGCATCAGCATCCTGATCCTGGATGCTGGGGCCATGCTGCTTGCCATCAGCCGTCGCCAATGGAATCACTTGTGGCCATGGGGCCCATTTGGTTCCAGCACTGGTGGTGCCTGTCCCCAGAAACGTGACTGTGCCACAATGATGTTCCCACAGGGTGATGACCAGGGCAAGCAACAGTGCAGATGGAGGCAGCGATTTCTGGCAGCAGAGCCATGTAAGTCCCCAGCAGGTCCCCCAGGGGAGCCCAGCCCCATGGGGAGCAGGCTGGGTGTACGGTCCCAGGTCGGTTGCGGCCCCCCGACACTCAAGAACCCCTCCCTGCCTTGCAGGTAACGCTGTGTCCCCCCTGTGCGGGCCCTGGCGCTGCAGGCCCGGCTGCACCCACTGCATCAAGGCTGTGCAGGAGCTGCAGGAGCTGGTGCTGTCAGCGTGGGCTGGGAGAGGAGCTGCAGCCGCTCTGGATGCTGGCACGTGGCAGGCGCTATGGCAGGACCTGGAGGAGCTGGTGGAGCAGGGAGAGCTGAGCTGCTGCGGCTCCCCCAGTTACCCCGAGAGCATCAGTTCCAGCGAGAGCCTCAGTCCCCCCGAGAGCCTGACAGCAACGCCCCTGACTGAAGATGAAGGAGCCCCTATGGAGGTGAGGTCTGTTTGCTCCCTCGACCACACATGTGCTGGCAGAGTCTCTTCAGCCCTGAAGATGCACGTGGCTCAGAAAGCCCTGGAGATACGGCTGGGGGCCCTGCCCGTGCCGGTGCAGCAGTCCCAGGAGCAAGCAGCACAGCAGCAGGGCTGCCTCCCTGTCCTGCCCAAGCTCATCCTGCCGGGACAGAGCCAGCCCTGGCTGCGGCACGTTCTGTGCCCCTCAATGCAGGCCAAGGCAAACGCCATTGTGGATACCATTGAAGAGAAGGAAGTGCAGAGGCTATGGGGGGATCCAAACCCCACCGAGGAGTCCCTGGCACCGCAGATGCTGTGCCCTCCACCGCTGCTTGGTCCCCTGGACCCAAAGCTGCCAAAGGAGAGCAGAGCTGGGGAGCCCAGGGCCCCGGGCGATGCCAGTGCACTGGGACAGCACAAAGCAGGACAGCAGGAGCCACAGAGCCCCTGTGGATCTCAGGAGAAACCAGCCATCCAAGCACCAGAGGAGGATACACTGAAGAAGAGCCTCCTTCACCTGGGTAGGGGCTTGTCACCGTGGGACAAGGAGTGCCTGAGGCCTTTTGGTTTAGGCGCGGCCCCCCCTGCCTGTCCCAGCCTGGATAATGGAGCAGCAGGACCAGAAGCAGGACCAGCTTCCATGCTCTTGAAGAAAGGTGCTGCCTGTCAGATCAACATCCCCACACAAGACAGGGACCATGCCCACAATGAGGACAGGAGGTGGTCCTGTGCCACAGCGCCTATCAGCAAGGCAAGGCTGGAGCTGAACCAGAAGGTCCACAGCAAGCTCTGGATCCACACAGCAAGAAAATGCCTGGAGATAAAACTCCACACTCTCCCCAAGGCAGTGCAGAGGTCCATGGGCATGTCGCAATGCTCACTGCCCAGACGGAGGAAAGCTGGGGCTGGGCAGCTGCAGCCCCGCAAGAGCTCTGCCATTATGGCAAAAGCAAAGCAGCTCAGGCAGAAGGAATGGGTCCTGCAGCAGCAGGTTCAGGCATCCCTCACCTGCACTCTGGTCCCCATGACACCGTGCTCCTGCCTGTATTGTGTCTCCTCCTACGGCCCCGTTCCAGGGACGGAGAGCAGCCAGGCATTCCTGGAGGCCAGGACCCTGCCCAGCACATCCTGCAGCTCTGGGAATGAGATGGCCACAGACACCAAGGATGCGCCATGACCGCCCTGTGGGATGGTGAAGGACTCGCCCGGCCCAGAATCCACCCTTGTGTCCCCAAGCCTTGTCCCAGCATTCCCTGCTATGGACACCTCCAGGAGCACAGAGAAGCAAAGGAGATGTCCTGATGGCCTCTCACAGGGAAGCCCGCCCAAGATGGCTCCAACCTCCAACTCCTGCTGCCCAGAGGGGATCCCCAGCCAGCACAGCCCATCCTCGCTGCAGCACTGAGGTTCCCCTTTCACCTGGAACATGAGCTCATGCCAACCGTGCCCAGACCGGGACTCACAGGACACTGCAGCAGCATCGACCAACAATATCCTGCGTGCGGTGCTGGAGAGGATTCGGCAGCGGGGAAGGAAGGTGTCCTCATCCCCGGAGAGCTCTCCCACTGAATGGAGCTGACGTGGTGCGGAGAGGCAGGGCCAGGCTTCCCAGAGCTCCTGTTCTCTGTGAGCCCTCTCTTCTTGTAAATAAACACGCTGATGGTTCTCCAAAGAGCCATGCAAGTGGACTAACCCCTGCTGGAGGGGCAGGGTGTGCTGGGGATGGGAAAGGGAAGGCGGGCTCAGGGGCACAGGGGAAGCTGTGCTGTCCCAGCAGGAGGACCTGGCCAAGAGGAGAAGCCTGGGCAAGGGGGTTGCTGCTCCTAGAGCTCCTGCTCAGCCCTGCCCTGGCCAGCCCCTGTTGCCACCCTGCAGGGCAGGTCCTTTGGCTCAACTTCACTTGTTCCCCAAGCCTTCCCTGAGAGCAGCTCCCTCCAGCCCCACCCCAGGCACCTTTGGGGACCACAGGGCCCTCGGAGTGCCTGCAGCTGCCTCTCAGGGGCAGCTCCACAGTGGTTTGCCCAGACACAAGCTCATTGACCAGACAAGATGATGCCAGTGTCCAGATGCAGGGCTGAGGTCCTCGATGCCTACAGCACGTCTCTTGGGCCAGTTGCTGCAGTAACATTTCTATGCACTGAACCCCCCAGGTCCCTCAGTCGTTCCCCATCACACTTGGGCTCCAGGCCCTCCTTATCCCACAACTGCAGGTACAGTCAAAGAAGCAAAAGCTTTTCATTCAACCTCCCATTACAATGTCCATGCCTGATCTGAATGCTCCAGTCTTCCTCTCGCCATAGGTGGCTGCTCCCTGGGTTTAGAGGAACTGTTCTGCATTCCAGCAGGGCACGGTAAGATAAAGATGAAGGTAAAGGAGTGTCCCAAGCTTCTGTCTTCTCCCACTTCACCAAGGTAGCTTGGCAATGGCTTGGGGCTGTAACACTGAGTAAGGACACAAGGAAAAAATCACAGCCAGAAGAATGAAGGAAGCAAACCACTGAAAACAATGCACAAAGAAAACGAGGAAGAGCATCTTACATTTGTTGATCTTTCCTAAGGTTCACTGACTGCAGAGTTTCCTGCATGTAGGCTAAGAAATAACATAGCTTTGGCAAATTATCTTACTCACTCCGTGTGGGGCCTCTGTTCTCAGCTTGTACCTCAAATGTATACCACATGAGTTAACTTTGCATGTCCCAGGCACATATATATGTGTGGTTTGGGGCTGAGTCACCAGGATATTTAAGTAAGTTGCTAAGTATGTACAGTATTTGTTTGTAAGAGTTTGCCGATGGCACCGAGCTGTGTGGTTCGGTTGATACCCTGGAGGGAAGGAATGCCATCCAGAGGGACCTCGACACGCTTGTGAGGTGGGCTGATGCCAGCCTCATGAAGTTTAACCATGCCAAGTGCAAGGTCCTGCACCTGGGTGGGAGCAATCCCAGGCACAGCTACAGGTTGGGCAGAGAAGAGATTCAGAGCAGCCCTGCGGAGAAGGACTTGGGGGTGTTGGTTGATGAGAAAATGAACATGAGCCGGCTTCAGTGTGCGCTTGCAGCCCAGAAACCAACCGTGTCCTGGGCTGCATCAAGGAAGGCATGTCCAGCAGGTCGAAGGAGGTGATCCTGCCCCTCTACTCTGCTCTTGTGAGACCTCACCTGGAGCATTGTGTGCAGTTCTGGTGTCCTCAACATAAAAAGAACATGGAACTGTTGGAACAAGTCCAGAGGAGGCCACGAGGATGATCAGGGGACTGGAGCATCTCCCGTATGAAGACAGGCTGTTCAGCCTGGAAAAGAGAAGGCCGCGTGGAGACCTCATAGCAGCCTTCCAGTATCTGAAGGGGGCCTATAGGGATGCTGTGGAGGGACTCTTCATTAGGAACTGTAGTGACAGGACAAGGGGTAGTGGGTTAAAACTTAAACAGGGGAAGCTTAGATTGGATATAAGGAAGAAGTTCTTTACTGTAAGGGTGCTGAGGGGCTGGCACAGGTTACCCAAGGAAGTGGTGAACGCTCCATCCCTGGCGGTGTTCAAGGCCAGGTTGGACAGAGCCTTGGGTGACATGGTTTAGCGCAAGCTGTCCCTGCCCATGGCAGGGGGGTTGGAACTGTATGGTCTTAAGGTCCTTTCCAACCCAAACCATTTTATGATTCTATACTGTATCTAGACACCACTGTACTACAACAGTGTGTACGTGCTTTGTAACACTGTGACGCTGCTGATACCCTACCCATCAACAAACGTTTTGTAACACAATTAAGCAGGAATAACCAATTAAGCTATGAGAAGGGAAATGAAGGCTTGTGGTATAAAGGCAGAAACAGATTATGGGAAAACATACACAAGTAGTAAAGTCTTTAAGGTAAAACACAGGAGGAGAAGCATGAAAGGTGTCTGAGGAGAGCAGAACAAGCAGGAAGGATTTGTGATGAAACATGAACAAGCCTGGTCCTAAAATGCAATAAATTAGGAGGACATGAGATTCCTCTCTGTATAGAGGGTATGGCGAAGCTGGCTGCTAAATAATCGCAGTCTTTTCCACTGTACAAAAGGCTTTCATTTCCAAGTTTAATACATACGCTCACACCCGTATGTAGGAGTTTTCTAAATTGAACTTTTCTTTAGAGCATCTTGGTTGTTGTCTCAATAAGCATAAGCTATAAAAATAGAACTTTCTTCTGCATTTGGGATAGAGGAGTTGGGTTGAGAAATTTGGGGTTTTTCAGCCTGGAGAAGGGAAGCCTCGGGGGAGAACTTAGAGCAGAGGAGAAAGAGATCCTTCTGTGATGGGAGCTGTCTGACTTTGCCTTCTGTTTTGTGATACTGGGAATCACCTTGTAAGTTGACTGTTTTTTTCCCAGCAATTACCAAATGAATCTGGGAAGTAGATCAGATGCAGGTGTTCCTAACATGTCACCTACATTTAGTCAGGCAGTTCCCATCACTTGTGTTGCATCAGAAACACACTGTCTTTTTGCTTCAAAGAAAATCACTGTGAAAACACTCTTCTCCCTACTGTCCTCCTTAGAGCATCCTTCACCTCTTTGTTCCTGAAGCTATAAATGAGGGGGTTCAGCATGGGAAAAACAAGGGTATAAAATGCAGAGATCACTTTGTCTGTGTTCATCGAGTGGCTGGAGCTGGGCTGTAAGTACGTGAAGAGGAGGGAGCCATAGAATAACCCAACAGCCATCAGGTGGGAGGTGCAGGTGTAGAAGGCTTTGTGCCTGTTGTCTGCCACATGGATCCGGAGGATGGTGCTGAGGATGCAGGTGTAGGAGGCAGCAATGGCCAGGAAGGTGCTGGTTTGTATAAAGCCACAGAGAGTGAAGAGAAGAACCTCGTTGATGTGTGTGTTGGAGCAGGAGAGCTCCAGCAGTGGGGGAATATCACAGAAGAAATGGTTGATGACATTGGAGCCGCAGAATGACAATGTGAAGGTGAAAGATGTGTGCACCAGCGAAGTCAGACCCCCGCTGAGATAAACCCCAGCTACCAGGGTGGTGCAGACCCTGCGAGACATGACAACAGTGTAGACAAGAGGATGACATACAGCCACATAGCGGTCATAGGCCATCGCAGCCAAAAGGAGGCACTCGGCGTCAGCAAAGGCAGCGAAGGAAAACATCTGTGTTGCGCAGCCAGTGAAAGAAATGGTCTTCTGCTGTGCTAACAGACTCACCAGCATCTTGGGAGCAATGGCAGATGAACAGATAAGGTCTAAGAAAGACAAATTGCTTAGGAAATAGTACATGGGAGTATGAAGGCAGGCATTGAGCTGGAGAAGCACGACGAGGCCAGCATTCCCCACCAAAGTGGTGATGTAGATGAGTAGGAAGAGCCCAAACAAAGGTATCTCCACCTCCAGACGGTCGGTGAAACCCAAGAGAATGAACTCTGTCAGCGTGGTGCAGTTCTCTTCAGGCATCTCATGACCCTGTGTTTGGTTCGTCAGGGGATCAATCCTAGTGGGTAGAGCAATGCACAAACACATTGTATCTTTCAGAAGACAGAAAAGTAGGCACCTCGCCAAGTATCAGAGGGGGAAACCAATCACTTAGATAATGCCCATTGAAAAGAAACTTTAGGAGGACATTAAAAGTGAGCTTTACATCAAAAGAAAGCCATGAGTGTTGTTTTTAAGCATCTGAGCACAAATACTGTTAGATTTTCCAAGCATTTTCCCCCACTTTATTTTTCACGTAAAACCAACTGAATTTGATTCAGTCCTCTCTCAAATTAATTTCGGGTCTTAATTTTACCTTTCCAGAAGTGCATCATGTAACTTAACTTTGCCAAAGTTAGCATCTGCTGATGCCAGTATAAGTTCGAGGCAGGGCAGATCTCTCTTGCTCACCTTTACATTTCCGGGAAATATAAGGATTGCAGAAGGACATTTGATAACGAAACCGCTAGCAGGTCAGTTAAATAGTCCTGTAAATATCAATGCTAAATGGATAAAAGCACAGCCAGACCAGAAATGTCTATGTTCCTTAACAATATATAATAATCTAAGCTGACTCATTCAGGATAGGATATTAATTGGTTACAGTAGAGCCTGGGGGTTCAGAAAGGAGGGTTGCACTGACCTCACCTGTATTTGGCTTTGTAAAGGTTGGTCTAAGTGCATCATCTTCAGTTCCATCTATAATCACTGCAGAGGGGTGGGTGGGATGCATCGTATCCTGGCTATGCGCTCATCTGTTGATAAGAAAGGACGCCTGCATGACCAGTATCAATTCACTGCCAAAAGTTTAGATGGTTAGTGAGATGAATCCCATTTTAGACTGTTTTCTTTGATCTTTTTTCAAGGTCCTTCATTCTTGATGCATCCTAGAATCTGAATCACTTTGTGGATGTGACCGTTTACTCCAGATGACGTCTGGGGTGACTCTGGTACCGTGATTCCTAGACTAAGATGACAAGCTCTGCCAAAATTCAATTGTGTTTTAGTTTTAGTTGAGACCAGTTAAACAGTGACCTTGTAACATTACCACTTATTTTAACATTATCACCGGTAATTTGAGAGATTTCTAGTGAAAGTAAGAAAAAGAACCTTTCTGCCCCCAGAAATACTCCATAGTTAAGCACATGTAGCTGTTTCCTCCTAGTTTCAGCTGTGGTTCATGTTCGGAAATCCAGGCAGAGAAAGCCTAGAAGCTGCTGAGTGGTCTTTGATGAGGACCTGCAAGAGGTATCAGATCAAAATTTAGGTGTAAAAATCAAAGATAAACCAAATTCCCCCCTTATTAAAGATATATACATATTTATTGTTTTCTTTTGTTATCTCATGGTGCTGCAAAGCTTTTCTGAATCAGAAATACATCCAAAGCAACTGACTTGGAACAATTCCTACACAACACCCTGAATGCAAGGAAATTTTATTCATTAGGAAACTTACCTACTAGGGAAATATTTGGTTTATATTCCTGGATGAAGGAAATGTTTCTTTTGAGGAATGTCACGGATTTTATATCTTCCTTTTGGACACGGGAGACCGTAATGTTCTCTAGGGAAGAGTAGAGCAAACAATTAAAGTGCTGCTGGTGTTTGTCTCAGTGTGGAAATGTTCCAGTGAAACGATGTGCTGTAGAGGTGTTGTACACACTCTTGAAATGCTTCTAGTATTTCTTTTGACTGGAGTCCCACACAGAGTGGGGGACAGTCTTAAGCTTCAAAACAGCATTGAAATGAGAATGGCCATCTTGGCAAATGGAGTCCCAGACCGTGAGCTGGAGTCAAGTCACTGTGACCTTGAAGCAACAGCTTTCAGGGAAAAAGACTTTCAAATGCACCTCAAAATGATTGTGACAATTTAGAAAATGCAAATCCAGAGGCCATCAGAACTTCTGGTGACAGGATTGTGTTCATATCAAATTATGAACAATATCAACAATATCATATCAACAATTATATCAATAATGTAGGGACCTTAGCTATCATGCTAGCTAAGGTCCCTACATTACACAGAAATTACACACCGGGGGAAGATTTAGAGCAATTTAAGTTGTTACTTTACTACTTACATTAAGCAGTAGTTAATCTTATTCATTAATACAAATTTTGTTTAGCCACAACCCCCCCTGCCCGTCCCAGCCTGGATAATGGAGCAGCAGGACCAGAAGCAGGACCAGCTTCCATGCTACTGAAGAAAGATGCTGCCTCTCAGATCAACATCCCCACAAAAGGCAGGGGCCATGCCCACAATGAGGACAGGAGCTGGTCCTGTGCCACAGCGCCTATCAGCAACGCAAGGCTGGAGCTGAACCAGAAGGTCCACAGCAAGCTCTGGACCCACACAGCAAGAAAATGCCTGGAGATAAAACTCCAAACTCTCCCCAAGGCAGTGCAGAGGTCCATGGGCATGTCGCAATGCTCACTGCCCAGACAGAGGAAGAGCCCTGCAAGAGCTCTGCCATTACAGCAAAAGCAAAGCAGCTCAGGCAGAAGGAATGGGTCCTGCAGCAGCAGGTTCAGGCATCCCTCACCTGCACTCTGGTCCCCATGACACCGTGCTCCTGCCTGTATTGTGTCTCCTCCTATGGCCCCGTTCCAGGGACGGAGAGCAGCCAGGCATTCCTGGAGGCCCGGACCCTGCCCAGCACATCCTGCAGCACTGGGAATGAGATGGCCACAGACACCAAGGATGCGCCAGGGCCACCCTGTGGGATGGTGAAGGACTCGCCAGGGCCAGCATCCACCCTTGTGTCCCCAAGTCTTGTCCCAGCATTCCCTGCTAGGGACACCAAGCCAGAGAAGGCACAGGGAGCACACATGTGTTCAACCCATGAAGGCTTCATGGCACAAGCACAAGGAGCCCTACAGAGCCATTGTGGCTGCTGCAGGAAACAAGCTTGACCTGCTGACGGCAGCTTCTCAAGTGGGACAGCCCCTCTGGAGCAGTAGTGATTTGTGTTGTACTTTAGTTACTAAACTGTTCTTATCTCAATCCTGGGAGTTACGTTCTTTCGATTCTCCTTCCCACCCCTCCAGGAGCCAGGGCGAACAAGAACAGGGGAGTGTTTGATTTATGGCTGACTGGGTTTAAACCACGACAAGCCAAAGGAGACAGAGCATCTTTAAAGCCAAAATCTTGTCTTTCCCTTTTAATTTTGTGGTCCAAACTGTTCTGCTGTAAGAAATACCCTTCAACTTTGTCTCTTGTCCCTTCTCCCTGTCAAATAACTATCACCAGAAGCACCAGAGGAAGGTGTCAGGAAAACTAGAGCAGGCATATGTAAAGATAGAGCATGGTATCCATAACGAGACTAAATAAGAGGCCTTGTCTAGCAGTAGGAGAAGGCAAAAGTTACAGGATGACCCACTGCAAGCCTCTCAGCAGGCCTGTACTCCAACATCAGCGAAGTCATTAAACCAATTGCCATCACAAATTAAACGTTTTCCCTTCCCAAAACAAGGAATTCCTCTGGGGGGCAGGCTTCTGGGCATCCTAAAGAAGCCTCTAATGATCTTGAAACCTTCTTAGAAAGCTCAAAGTAAACCTACCTCATTCTTCCTAACAAGCCCCTGGGGACAACTTCATAGACATTAAGGAGAAGGAAACTTTCCTCTTTCTTAAAGGCAAGAGCGCTTCTAAAGCAGTTCAGTTTGGCACAACTCCTCCACACCCTGAAGCTGGTGGGTGGAGAGTTTATGGATTGGCAGACTTCTTTCCAGTCCTCCTCCTGGTCACTACAGTAGTGACCCCTGGAGTTTGAAGGAAAGAGCAGCCACCCCTGGCAAACAACAACTGATTGGCAGAAGTCACTTGGCATCTTAACAGCAAGTTCTTTGGACATCACAAGGGGTCCATAAACAGCCACAGCTGTGGCAGGTGATGCGCTAGATTCAGGGTTTATCAGTCAGAAGCAAAAGGTGATGTGGCTGAAGACAAAATACAATGTACATACATTTCCCTGTCTAGAAATAAAACTACCTACAGCTCAGGTCCAAGATGCATCCAGGAGGCAGATGCAGCCAGACACACTCCTACAATGAGGGGTCCTAGTCTATGGCAGAGGAGGAGTATGATGTGCTGAGGGAAGAAAACACTGGGCGAGGCTGATCAGGACCTATTGTTGCCATCAGGGTCCGGACCTACATGAACTACTGATTTTGGGGATGCTAACTGTGCTGGTGTTTCTCAGGTCGTTTCTGCTGCCTTGGGGCTGAAGTCTCTGAGGTGATCTCCTCCATAGACAGTGCTATCTGTAAAAGCATACAAGGTTCATAGAATCATAGGCCATAGAATCAATCAGGTTGGAAAAGTCCCTTGAGATCATCAAGTTCAACTGCTCCCCCAGCACCTTCAAGACCACCACTAACCCATGGCACTGAGGCCTCGAGTCGGCGGTGTGTGACTGTGACTGCAGCCCTACCCTGGGCAGCCTGTTCCAATGGCTGAGCACCCTCTGGGGAAGGAATTGTTCCTCTTCTCCATCTAAACCTGCCCTGGTGCAGCTTGAGGCCCTTAACTCTTGTCCCATTCCTTGTTCCCTGGGAGCACAGCCCAGCCCCTTCCTGGCTCCATCCTCCTGTCAGGCAGTTGTCGGGAGAGATAAAGTCCTCCTTGTGCCTTCCCTTCCCTGAGGGCTGGAGCAGCTCTACTCTGGAGTCAGGCTGAAAGAGCTGGGCTGGGTCAGCCTGGACAAGAGAAGGCTCCTTAAGGAGAGACCTTAGAGCAGCTCCAGTGCCTAAAGGAGCTGCAGGAAACCTGGAGAGGGGCTTTGGACAAGGGCCTGTAGGGACAGGCCAAGGGGAATGGCTTGAACCTGCCCGAGGGGAGACTGAGATGAGCTCTTAGGCAGAAGCTCTTCCCTGTGAGGGTGCTGAGGCACTGGCACAGGGTACCCAGAGAGCTGTGGCTGCCCCATCCCTGGCAGTGTTCAAGGCCAGGTTGGACACGGGCTTGGAGCAAGCTGCTCTAGTGGAAGGTGTCCCTGCCCGTGGTAGGGGCCTGGAACTGGATGAGCTTGAAGGTCCCTTCACACTCAAACCAGTCCGGGATTCTACAAACTGATTACAGGAAATTGAACACTAACACCCCACCACTGACAGCTGCCATCCTGAGCACAACCCCCATTGTGACAGCATTACAGGCTCTGACATCACTCGGCTGTTCTCAGCAGCAGCCTCTAACTTCACAGCAACACGTGCCACTGTTCCACAGCTCCCAATGTGGTTGTCACGGGCAGTGCACATGGGCAACAGCAGCTTTCTTCTGGGCCTCAGCATCCTGATCCTGGCTGCTGGGGCCATCCTGCTTGCCATCAGCCGTCGCAGACGAAGTCGCCTGTGGCCATGGGGCCCACTTGGTTCCAGCACTGGTGGTGCCTGTCCCCAGAAAGGTGACAGTGCCACACTGCTGTGCCCACAGGGTGATGGCCAGGGCAAGCAACAGCAGAGATGGAGGTGGCGATTTCGGGCAGCAAAGCCATGTAAGTCCCCGGCAGGTCCCCCAGGGGAGCCCAGCCCCATGGGGAGCAGGCTGGGTGTACGGTCCCAGGTCGGTTCCGTCCCCCCGACACTCAAGAACCCCTCCCTGCCTTGCAGGTAACGCTCTGTCCCCCCTGTGCGGGCGCTGGCGCTGCAGGCCCGGCTGCACTGACTGCATCAAGGCTGCGCAGGAGCTGCAGGAGCTGGTGCTGTCAGCGTGGGCTGGGAGAGGAGCTGCAGCCACTCTGGATGCTGGCACGTGGCAGGCGCTATGGCAGGACCTGGAGGAGCTGGTGGAGCAGGGAGAGCTGAGCTGCTGCGGCTCCCCCAGTTACCCCGAGAGCATCAGTCCCTCCAAGAACCTGACAGCAATGCTCCTGACTGAAGATGAAGGAGCCCCTATGGAGGTGAGGTCTGTTTGCTCCCTCAACCACATGTGTGCTGGCAGAGTCTCTTCAGCCCTGAAGATGCACGTGGCTCAGAAAGCCCTGGAGATACGGCTGGGGGCCCTGCCCATGCCGGTGCCGGTGCAGCAGTCCCAGGAGCAAGCAGCACAGCAGCAGGGCTGCTTCCATGTCCTGGCATTGTTCAAGGCCAGGCTGGACAGAGCCTTGGGTGGCATGGTCTAGTGTGAGGTGTCGCTGCCATGGCAGGAGGCTGGAACTGGATGATGTTAAGGTTCTTTCCAACCCAAAACATTCTATGATTCTACATATGTCCAGAGGCAGGCACGTAAGGTCCTACAGTTTTATTGCTTCTGAACTTGAGACATTCCTCCCAGTAGTCCCCAGTAACATCTAAATGGAATGAGGATAGCTTTGTATGACATGAAATTTGTGTTGGCACAACAGCAGACCTCAAAGGCTCTGGAGGTCAGAGAAGTCCTCAAAATGCATGAAAACTCATCCTAACTACTTTTAGGCATCTAAAAGTTAGCTGGGTTCTTTTAGCTATCTTTTTAGCTATCATTGGCAAGAAATGGACACTTCCAAAGATGGTTCATCCCATTGTAATATAAGTTTAAGGAAAATAGCATGTTTTGCTTTCTGCAGGTCTCTCCCTCCTTACACTGACTACAGAAGAAGCCCCAACGGTTAGATTAGTCTTACCTGGTTGAATTTTATGCTGAAATTTGGTGAAATTACACCAAACAGAGTCTATGTTCCTATTGCCATAGCCTGTTCCCCAGCACTTACACAGAACACAGGCAGAAGCTCTGGGCTAAAGAGTTCAGAGAGGACATCCCTGAGGCAAGACACTAGATCTTGAGCAAAACAATCACATGGGAGGAAAGCAAAACACCACGGCAGAACTGATCTTTAACTTTCCTATTTCAAACTGTCGTTGATGAGATGGGAAAGCTCCACAGAGGCTTGTAGTAGCCAGTGATGGATATGCTTAGACCTTCCAAATACCTCTGGTGAGAGGCTAAACCATGACACATGAAAGGGATGAAATGGATGCTCTGCTTTGGGGGAAGATGATGTGGGAAAGCCAGTCCAGAATAGGGGAAATTATCATGTTTGGTTTGTTATTCACGCCTCTGCTCTATCATTTGATATTGGTAATATGGGGTTCACCAGTCAACGTAAAACAATTAAAAGTTACTCCTCTAAGTTTAAACTTCTACTGCTCTAGTAATCAATGTAGAGAAATAATCATTCAAATTCCAGGAAGTATCCAGAGTGCAAACATCTATATATAGGCTGTGGACACGGCTTACCTGAGCTTAGGAGAGGACTTTGTGTCTCTCTTCTGCTCTGGCTGTGCTTTCAGGGACAAGTCATCTCTTAATCGGCTGTCTAGTATTAGTCTCAGAGGACCACAGACTGTGAATCAGTAAAAATACAACTTAATGGTCCAATAGGGAAGACTGGCAGTGATGTGAACTACTTCTAGATTGAGTAAGGAGACTGTGGACTGGAATTCGGATTGCATGTCTATTGTTTAATGAGGACCAGCAAAACCTAAAACAATGATTCCCCTCCCTTTATGTCTGCTCCTTGTAGCTCTCATATAAAGGCTGATTGTTTCACAAGGTCAGCAATCCTCGGCATGTAATCCTCGCCGTGTTAAACTGAAAGAGAGGGGAGATGAAATGAGCTCTTAGGCAGAAGCTCTTCCCTGTGAGGGTGCTGAGGCGCTGGCACAGGGTTCCCAGAGAAGCTGTGGCTGCCCCATCCCTGGCAGTGCTCAAGGCCAGGTTGGAACTGGATGAGCTTGAAGGTGGCTTCCAACTCAAACCAGTCCGGGATTCTACAAACTGCTTACAGGAAATTGAACACTAATACCCCACCCCTGACAACTGCCATCCTGAACACAACCCCCATTGTGACAGCATTACCGGCTGCTACGCACACCTGGATGGCTATGCTGTATGTTAGGGATATGTTTTTTTATGGTTCTTCTAAGAGAAGAAGGCAAAACTGAGGTGTCTCAGGGGAGTCACACACAAGGAGACACTGAGCACAAGGACGGCCGTGCTCTTTGACCCATGATTTCTTTCCGGTTTCAAGACCCATATCTGCACAAGGATATTTAGGGCTCATGAAGCAGCAGGATGTCCACGGTGCTGGCATAATGTGGCCTGTAACATCACTCGGCTGTTCTCAGCAGCAGGCTCTAACTTCACAGCAACACGTGCCACTGTTCCACAGCTCCCAGTGTGGTTGTCACGGGCAGTGCCCATGGGCAACAGCAGCTTTCTTCTGGGCCTCAGCATCCTGATCCTGGCTGCTGGGGCCATGCTGCTTGCCATCAGCCATCGCCAATGGGATCACTTGTGGCCATGGGGCCCACTTGGTTCCAGCACTGGTGGTGCCAGTCCCCAGAAACGTGACTGTGCCACAATGATGTTCCCACAGGGTGATGGCCAGGGCAAGCAACAGCGCAGATGGAGGCGGCGATTTCGGGCAGCAGAGCCATGTAAGTCCCCGGCAGGTCACCCAGGGGAGCCCAGCCCCATGTGGAGCAGGCTGGGTGTACGGTCCCAGGTCGGTTGCGGCCCCCCGACACTCAAGAACCCCTCCCTGCCTTGCAGGTAACGCTGTGTCCCCCCTGTGCGGGCCCTGGCGCTGCAGGCCCGGCTGCACCCACTGCATCAAGGCTGCGCAGGAGCTGCAGGAGCTGGTGCTGTCAGCGTGGGCTGGGAGAGGAGCTGCAGCCGCTCTGGATGCTGGCACGTGGCAGGCGCTATGGCAGGACCTGGAGGAGCTGGTGGAGCAGGGAGAGCTGAGCTGCTGCGGCTCCCCCAGTTACCCTGAGAGCATCAGTTCCAGCGAGAGCCTCAGTCCCCCCGAGAGCCTGACAGCAACGCTCCTGACTGAAGATGAAGGAGCCCCTATGGAGGTGAGGTCTGTTTGCTCCCTCGACCACACGTGTGCTGGCAGAGTCTCTTCAGCCCTGAAGATGCACGTGGCTCAGAAAGCCCTGGAGATACGGCTGGGGGCCCTGCCCGTGCCGGTGCAGCAGTCCCAGGAGCAAGCAGCACAGCAGCAGGGCTGCCTCCCTGTCCTGCCCAAGCTCATCCTGCCGGGACAGAGCCAGCCCTGGCTGCGGCACGTTCTGTGCCCCTCAATGCAGGCCAAGGCAAACGCTATTGTGGATACCATTGAAGAGAAGGAAGTGCAGAGGCTATGGGGGGATCCAAACCCCACCGAGGAGTCCCTGGCACCGCAGATGCTGTGCCCTCCACCGCTGCTTGGTCCCCTGGACCCAAAGCTGCCAAAGGAGAGCAGAGCTGGGGAGCCCAGGGCCCCGGGCGATGCCAGTGCACTGGGACAGCACAAAGCAGGACAGCAGGAGCCACAGAGCCCCTGTGGATCTGAGAAGAAACCAGCCATCCAAGCACCAGAGGAGGATACACTGAGGAAGAGCCTCCTTCACCTGGGTAGGTGCTTGTCACCGTGGGACAAGGAGTGCCTGAGGCCTTTTGGTTTAGGCGCGGCCCCCCCTGCCTGTCCCAGCCTGGATAATGGAGCAGCAGGACCAGAAGCAGGACCAGCTTCCATGCTACTGAAGAAAGGTGCTGCCTGTCAGATCAACATCCCCACACAAGACAGGGACCATGCCCACAATGAGGACAGGAGCTGGTCCTGTGCCACAGCGCCTATCAGCAAGGCAAGGCTGGAGCTGAACCAGAAGGTCCACAGCAAGCTCTGGATCCACACAGCAAGAAAATGCCCGGAGATAAAACTCCAAACTCTCCCCAAGGCAGTGCAGAGGTCCATGGGCATGTCGCAATGCTCACTGCCCAGATGGAGGCAGGCTGGGGCTGGGCAGCTGCAGCCCCGCAAGAGCTCTGCCATTATGGCAAAAGCAAAGCAGCTCAGGCAGAAGGAATGGGTCCTGCAGCAGCAGGTTCAGGCATCCCTCACCTGCACTCTGGTCCCCATGACACCGTGCTCCTGCCTGTATTGTGTCTCCTCCTACGGCCCCGTTCCAGGGACGGAGAGCAGCCAGGCATTCCTGGAGGCCAGGACCCTGCCCAGCACATCCTGCAGCTCTGGGAAGGAGATGGCCACAGACACCAAGGATGTGCCAGGGCCACCCTGTGGGATGGTGAAGGACTCGCCAGGGCCAGCATCCACCCTTGTGTCCCCAAGCCTTGTCCCAGCATTCCCTGCTATGGACACCTCCAGGAGCACAGAGAAGCAAAGGAGATGTCCTGATGGCCTCTCACAGGGAAGCCCACCCAAGATGGCTCCAAGCTCGAACTCCTGCTGCCCAGAGGGGATCCCCAGCCAGCACAGCCCATCCTCGCAGCAGCACTGAGGTTCCCCTGTCACCAGGAACGTGAGCTCATGCCAACCGTGCCCAGCCCGGGATGCGCAGAACACTGCAGCAGCATCGACCAACAATATCCTGCGTGCGGTGCTGGAGAGGATTCGGCAGCGGCGAAGGAGTGTGTCCTCATCCCCGGAAAGCTCTCCCACTGAATGGAGCTGACGTGGTGCGGAGAGGCAGGGCCAGGCTTCCCAGAGCTCCTGTTCTCTGTGAGCCCTCTCTTCTTGTAAATAAACATGCTGATGGTTCTCCAAAGAGCCATGCAAGTGGACTAACCCCTGCTGGAGGGGCAGGGTGTGCTGGGGATGGGAAAGGGAAGGCGGGCTCAGGGGCACAGGGGAAGCTGTGCTGTCCCAGCAGGAGGACCTGGCCAAGAGGAGAAGCCTGGGTAAGGGGGTTGCTGCTCCTAGAGCTCCTGCTCAGCCCTGCCCCGGCCAGCCCCTTCTGCCACCCTGCAGGGCAGGTCCTTTGGCTCAACTTCACTTGTTCTCCAAGCCTTCCCTGAGAGCAGCTCCCTCCAGCCCCACCCCATGGCACCTTTGGGGACCACAGGGCCCTCGGAGTGCCTGCAGCTGCCTCTCAGGGGCAGCTCCACAGTGGTTTGCCCAGACACAAGCTCATTGACCAGACAAGATGATGCCAGTGTCCAGATGCAGGGCTGAGGTCCTCGATGCCTACAGCACGTCTCTTGGGCCAGTTGCTGCAGTAACATTTCTATGCTGTGCCCCGCATCCCGAAACTGTCCTGCTCCAACGCGCACATCATGGAGCACTTCACCTGTGCGGCTGTGCTCATCATCTCAACCAAGCTCCTCATTTTCATCTACACCTGCATCACAGTTGCCATCCACAAGATCTAAGTCCAAAGGCAGGCAAAAGCCTTCTCCACTTCTGCTTCCCACCTGATTCCTGCTGCTGTGTTTTATGGAACAGGCTTCTTCACGTACACACAGTTCACAGTTCTCTACGGAGCACAGTAGTTATTGCTTCATTTATGCTCTGGTGATTCCCATGCTCAATCCTATGATGTACAGTCTTAAGAACAGGGAGGTCAAACCACCCATTCCAAGAGCAGTAGCAAGCCTGTATTTCTCTGAGTACCACAGAGATTCAGGAGTCCAAACAGGTCTCAAAGAACCTGAGATTTGGTAAATGAGAATAATTAAATGTACAAGTAGTTTGGCAGTGCCTACTAAAGGAAAAAAAAGACGTTATAGAAGCCTTCCAATGCCTAGAGGGGCTGACAAGAACGCTGGAGAGGGGCTTTTGACAAGGGCCTGTAGTGACAGGACAGGGGATTTGCTTTAAAGTAACCCCTGAAGAGCAGTTACCTGACCCCAGAAGTAGAACGGTGTCGTAGCCCGCGCTGGGCTTTCTGTGTACATTTTTGTCCACGCTGATGCATATCTTGTGATTTGTCAGACGGCTTTGGGATAAATGGTTGGGTTTTTTTAAATGGTTTCCACTGTTATAGTTCAAGAACTTCTGTTTTCTCATCTACTCTCTCTGTATGTTTGATGGAGCAGGAACTATTGACCAGGAAGGATACTTTGGGTGACCTTGCGTGCTATAGAAACTTGTGCTTAGAAAACTAAATCCCAACTGCACCGTAAGTCATGGCATTGAACTCTGTGGGAAGCTCCATAGTGTTACAGCTACATGGGTAGCCCTGACTTCTTAGTGCTTGTCTTTGAAGCTGGTCTCAGATGGAGTTACATGCGTTTTCTTAAGCTGCTGAGATATGCTTTAAAACCAAAAGAAAACCCCAGAAAATCCTGAATGTATTACCCAAGAGAAAAGCTCTTTGGTCATTACTGTTGACCTTTGAACCCGTTGTCAACATGACCAGCAGCTGAGAATGGATAAAGCTTGAGTGATTTCCATTGTTTTAATATTAAGAATGTGCATTTGCTATGACTAAGATTCAAGTTCCTGCAGAGAAACCATTAGCTTATCTTTTATACCAAGGCAGCAACCACAAAAAAGGCCACCGAGACAGACATCCTTGACACGTGGTTTGAGTAAGTAGTGTGCAAGCAACAAAGTCACAGCAGGGATTTAGCACATGGCACAACAGCTGGAACGACACACCACAGCACTTTAACACCGTCCAAGGCCCATCTCAAGCTGTAAGAGTTTATCATCCCAGCATAGACCCTCGTAGCTAAGATACACGGACTTGTAGCCACAACACACAGAGACTGCACAGCACCCCACCTCTCTGCACATCTGTTTCCACCTTAGTCAGCCATGTCTTCTTTGTCTTCCACCTTAGTCAGCCATGCCTTCACTTTTTGCTTGGTGTGAAGCACTGGTTTTACTTATGGACTCAGACCTAAAGCACACTTTGTAAACCTTCCTTCAGTCTGCTGGGACTGGGAAAAGCCAGAGCAATGGTCACAAAGCCCATGAATACAAAGCCTCCCTTTTCCCCTCACTGGCCATAAGAGGAGTCTTAAAGCTGTCTAATATATGGACACATGAGCACAATTGACATCTCTAGTTCAGGCGTTAGAACAGGCTGCCCAGGGCAGTGGTGGAATCACCATCTCTGGAAGCGTTCACAAACCATGCAGATGAGGCCCGTAGTGACATGGGTTAGTGGTGGACTTGGCAGTGTTGGGGAACAGTTGGACTTGATTACCTTAATGGTCTTTCCCAACCAAGTTGATTCTATGATTGTGGGAGTTGATTCACACCCTGGCAGACTGATTTTGAGATACACGGTGCAAACTATGGCCAGATTGTGCTTGGTGTTGCAGTTGGATTCTCGGCATGCTGGTTGAGAACACTCCCAGACTGATGACATGAAATGATGGCAAAGGAGCCATCCTTCCATTCAGCCTCCCACAAAGGATGTGCTCATGTTTTCTGCAGGAGCAGTGTGGTCAGGATGAGGTACCAGTCCTCCAGGCTGCTTTAGTACAGAAGGATGTAGATGTAAGTGTGCCTACAGGACCAGTTCCCAGCATTCACACTAAGATATGCTTACATCACCTGTGTCTAAGGCTGAGGATCTCATCTAAGCTTCCTCTGTGTTCAGCGGAGAATAACATTACCAGCAGAAGTCATCTCCTCCTGTGACAGTGACCAAAAACTGTGCCATCCAACTGGTCTCCTGGAGGTGCACACCTCTTCCAACTCCAAAGGGAACCCAGAGAAGGATGTTTGATTCCAGCACCTAACTTTTAGTTGGCTAAAGTTAGAGCAGTCACAAACTGCAGTTCCTATCCAGCTGGTGGAGCTCCACAGGGTGTCAGAGACCAAGAGTGATGTTCTTGTCTTGTTAAAGTAGTTCTTACCTGGGTGACCACTCTTCTCAGGGCACATTTAATTTCTTTGTTCCTCAGACTGTAGATTATGGGGTTTAGCAGGGGAGTGAGGATTCCATAGAGCATGGAAACTATCCTGTCCTGATTAGGCAAGTAGGTGGAGGAAGGCCGTGCATATGTGAAAATGGTGGTCCCATAGAAGAGGCATACTGCTGTCAAGTGAGACCCACAGGTGGAGAAGGCTTTGTGCCTGCTCTCAGAAGAGTTCATGCATAGAATAGCCCACAGGATGTAGATATATGAGACCAGAGTGACCGCAAAGGCGCTGCCCCCAATGGCTCCAGCAACTGTGAGAATTACCAGTTCCCTACTATAAGTAGATGAGCAGGAGAGGGCCAGCATGGGAGGGATATCACAGTAATATTGGTCAACTTCATTAGACTCACAGAAAGAGAGTGTAAAAATCAAAGATGTGTGCAACAGGGAGTTTAACAGCCCTGCTACCCAGATGCCAGTGGCTAGGTGAGCACACAGCTTTGTACTCATGATATTCATGTACTGCAGTGGATGGCATATTGCAACGTACCGGTCATATGCCATCACAGCCAAGAGGAAAATCTCTGTGCCTACGACATCAATCAGGAAAAACAGCTGGAACATGCAGCCATGGAATGAAATCACCTTGTTCTCAAGCAACAAGGCCTCCAGCATCTTCGGCACAGTGATAGTGGAACATAAGATATCCAGTAAGGATAAGTTGCCAAGGAAGAAGTACATGGGGTTGTGCAGATGTGTGTTTGTGCTAATGGCAACAAGAACTGAGATGTTGCCTGCCACGGTGGCCAAATGAGTGATCAAAAACAGCACAAAGAGAAGATAACGGACTTCTGGAGCATCAGAAAGGCCTACAAGAACAAACTCAGTTCCCGTTGATAGGTTGCCCCTCTGCATCTTATCTTTCATTGTGGAAATGATTGCAGAGGTTTACCTGGAAAAGAGAAGGAGTTGTAACTTAGTTAAAATTGCATCTCCCTTCTAAAGTGTGAATGTTTTATGGCTTGTTTTGCAATTCAAAATCATTTGCAAGTTTGTATTGCCACACAAAATCTAAACTTCACTCACACAACCTAAAGGCAAAAATATAGGTATTAAGCTTAACAGTGATTAATCAAAAAGGTTTAATTCTTGCAAGCTAAAGTGCTGGCGGTTGAAGACAAAGATACCTCCTCTGTGGTGGCTTTGAAGACAGCAGTACTCTGAGCAAGGGGAATGGAGACAGATCCAATGGACCTGCAGCTGCCAGAGGGGAGACTGAGATGAGCTCTTCCCTGTGAGGGTGCTGAGGCGCTGGCACAGGGTGCCCAGAGAAGCTGTGGCTGCCCCATCCCTGGCAGTGCTCAAGGGCAGGTTGGACACAGGGGCTTGGAGCAAGCTGCTCCAGTGGAAGGGGTCCCTGCCCATGGCAGGGGTTGGAACTGGATGATCTTAAGGTCCCTTCCAACACAAACCATCCTGTGATTCTATCTCTAGAAATCCTTTCAGCATAAATAATTTAGTGATAATGTCATTAAAAGGTCTAGATTACTAGCTGAACCTAATTTTAAGCAAATAATATTATAAGAGAAGAATTAAATTGCTGGTGATTGACAGACAGTATATCCCAGATTTTTTTTCAGCTTTATCCAGTGGGATATAAAGAGATATAATCTAGCATTCACTTAAAGACCTCCCTTCTTTCTTTATTTTACCATATAGGATTCCATAATATTATTAGTACTTCTAGGAATAGCTGGACTTCCCATCCCCTTTTCCCAGTTCAAAGTAGTCTAGGATTGTCACTGAAGATCTGTCTAACCTGCACTGCTACACTGAATGTAACTCAGTACTTACAGTAATGCTTTACCTAGTAGCCCTGTAGAGAGATAGGTCAAAGTTTGGCACAAGCAGCTCTTTGTTTGCAGATTAGAGCATGATTATGAGATGGTGTGAATATCGGAACACATTCTTACGTATGAGAAATACAAATAACAAGTGAAATAGGTGACTGACATCCCATCTGAGACAGGCTCATCTATCCTCTCATGTTCTCACAGCAGCTTGCTTCCACCTCAAAAGGGACCAAAATCAGAGTTTAAAATACTGTAAGATTCATTTAAGCAGAAATAAAAGGCACACAGTGCTTTAAATCATAATATCGCTCATTCTTAAAATTGGAAACTTCTCCAGGTGAAATACAACAGAAACCTAACACAGAAATACTCACTGCTACAAAGGATTAGTTACTGGCGCTACACAGGCATCCGTAACTCCAGGAAACATGACTATCCTTTTTCTTCTTTCAACACGTGCCTAGAATATCTGCATACAGCAGAAAAATGATTTCACTGTAGTCTCTGGAGCAACAATCCATTAAGGAAGCGATGGGTCCGGGTTTAGCAGCACAGGAACACGCAGGCAGACATCTGCAGGCACTGGCTAACCCTTGCCTACAAGGGTGAGTACCTCTTTAATGAGCTTTTATACACGTGAAGACGTACCTGGGGAGGAGTGTCTCTGAAGCTTTTTTGGATGCTACCTGTGTTGCGTTTATGAGGCCTTTTCAGAATCAGGAGAAGGCTAAAATGTGAGAAGCTATTTCTTCACTCTATACCATTTGATTCCCATGGCTTTCATGTTGCAGGACCTTTTTAAAGGGCTGTGGTTTGATACATGACTCTTCTCCCAGGAAAAGGAGATGGTGTCCTTCTCCCTAGGGGCTGCCAGCACAACTCGACCATTCCAGTTCCTGAAGTCTTACATCTTAGACCTCATAGCAGCCTTCCAGTATCTGAAGGGGGGCTATAGGGATGCTGGAGAGGGACTCTTCATTAGGGGCTATAGTGATAGGACAAGGGGTAACGGGTTCAAACTTAAACAGGGGAACTTCAGATTGGATATAAGGAAGGAGTTCTTTCCTGTTAGGGTGGTGAGGCACTGGAATGGGTTGCTCAAGGAAGTTGTGAATGCTCCATCATCCCTGGCAGTGTTCAAGGCCAGGTTGGCCAGAGCCTTGGGTGACATGGTTTAGTGTGAGGTGTCCCTGCCCATTGCAGGGGGGTTGGAACTGGATGATCTTAAGGTCCTTTCCAACTCTAACTATTCTATGATCTCACAAGAGTCTAGCATTCTGATTGCTTTAAACAGCCTTAAAGCTACTTGGTCACAAACTGTTTTCAGACTGATTTGTCTTGCTCTGGAGCCTTAAATCTATTGCTTACACATACTGGATCACAATAAGCTGGGGAACAGCTCCTTTGCAAAGGCACGTACCTTAGAGAAGGACAGTGGTATCGGTGTCTGTACAGGGTGAATGAAGAGCAGAACCCGAGTGACTGCTGTGGAGCAGTTGTGCTGGTGTTACAAGGGCAGCTAGCACACCATCACGTGCCTGTGTAAGTGCTTTCCATGTTGGTTTTATGGGCAATCTCTACTTCTTCAGGGGAGAAACCTTTTAATTTTGTTTACCCTCTACAGAAACAACAGAAGATAAGCTACTTGTGAAATCCATGCACTACTTGAAGCAGATACGTACCCTAGCATAAGGAGGAGCATAAGTTATCAGCAGTACTTTGAAGAGCTAATAAATCCCCCTCTGATTCCAGAAAGCATCCATGCATTACGCATTCATTTATTTGAGCATCACTTTCCATCTGATGTACTGCTCATATCCCAGTATTACCTGCCTATAGCTCCTGCACTGTCAACATGAATGATACAGTCAATCATTCTTAAAGCCTGTTTGTCATGCTTGCAGTGTGCCTCTTTTACAAAATAAAGACTTCTGCATATGTCAGAAGATAAATTGGAGTTCTCAAAGAGTTATAAAGCAGAGGCTTTTCCTGCTATGGTTGTATGGACCTGTGGCTGGAATAAATCCATGTGGTCCAGATCTTTATGTACTGTTAGCCCTAGGCCCATCAGACTTCTGAAGTTTTGGAACAAAGAATGGAGCTAATCATTCTGTAATAAACCCAGATGCCGGAAAGAGATACAGTAAATAGATCAATCTCATCACAGCTGGGAGAAGAGCTAAGACTGACTGTGCCCTTCCAACTTCTGAAACTGGTTTCATGCCTCTTCCACTGACAGCTACCCGTCTTTTCGTTGAACAGGCACAAGAGGGCAATAGCTCATGCAAAATCTCTACGTGGTGAAAGGCTACAGAGCACAGCGCCGTACCGAGAGTCAGGAGATAAATGTGCGTATACAGGCCACAAAAAGGGAGCTGCTATTATTTGCTTTCAGTATTTTTAATCTGAGACCTTATGTCTAAAGCCCACTGTTGATAAGCATAGAATGGCTTGGGTTAGAAGGGATCTCAAAGCTCATCTGCTCCCAATCCCCTGCCACAAGGGATTGGATCATTCAATCATTTAAAGAATCATTTAAGGCCATAAGAATTATTTAAGATTTATGACGTGACCCTCTTCTTGACCATGTTTGTACTTTAACATGTTGCCACACGTTAGAAGTTCGCATTTTGGCAAGATAGCTATTGCCTGTGCATCATGCTGGTGCCTAGAAATTAGTAGTGGGCTAAAGCTGAATTATCCCAGTCCCAAGCACAGATGCAGGCTGGGCAGAAACTGGAATGAGGGCAGCCCTGAGGAGTGGGTGTTGGTGGATGAGAAGTTCCCCGTGACCAGTGTGTGCTGGGCTGCACACCCAGAGCATGAGCAGCAGCTCAGGGAGGGGATCCTGGCCCTCTGCTGCCAAAGGGGAGACTGAGATGAGCTCTTAGGCAGAAGCTCTTCCCTGGGAGGGTGCTGAGGCGCTGACACAGGGTTCCCAGAGAAGCTGTGGCTGCCCCATCCCTGGCAGTGCTCAAGGCCAGGCTGGACACAAGGGCTTGGAGCAAGCTGCTCCAGTGGAAGGTGTCCCTGCCCGTGGCAGAGGTTGGAGCTGGATAAGGCAAAACAAACTCTATGAATTCAGAGACATCATCGGAGCTGGTGCTGCCCATCCCTTCTGCCATGCCAGGACCATACACAGCACAACACAACCAAAGCCGTTTGATATTGGCCAGTTATGAGATTGAGCCTTGTTGAGTATTGAGCTTTCCAGCTTGGAATGCTTACCATGACCACAGAACGCTTATCATGAACACAGACCGATTACAGACTTGGCTGCTGATAAAGCTCCTTTTCCTCTGATGTGTTTCTCATTTGTATTTCAGACGTGGGGATTATTTGATGTAATTCTGCTGTCTTCATGCCTAACAAGGTAACAATCTCATACAGCAGATGGGCTCCATACTCACTGTCACCTTCCCTGACAACGTCTTCTAAAAGTTAAATTTGGGATTTTAGTCAAAACTTTGTCCCCTATTTGCCCTATAGGTTCTGGCAAGAAGCAGCAGCCAGAAGAGGTCTGTAGAGCAGGAACCCTGGGACAGGTGTCGATTAGCCTTAGCTTTACCAAGAACCATCTCTGGTTTTTATTGTGAAGATCAGATAATGTGTCACACCACAAAAGAGATATCTGAAGGATGTTCCTGCCCATGGCAGCAGGTTGGAACTAGATGAGCTTTAAGGTCCCTTCCAACCTAAACCTATGACTCTATGATTGAAGCCAGCCCAATCCAAGCAGTTGTAAAGCTGCCCCTCAACAGTGCAATGCAGGTTGCTCTGCTTTACCCATAGTCTTTAAATAAAATTGATTAGATCAGAATCTCCTCAGTTTTGGGGGATTTAACAAAAGCATTGTAGAGATCCAGCCAGTTTTCAAAGGACTTGATTTGACCATGGCATCATTTGCTACAATAAGAGGCTGGGATATTTTGTGTTGCAGTCAAGGGTCTAAACAATATCAAGGAATGCCTTGTATCTAATGCTTCAAGAAATGGATATATTTAAGGTTCAAGGCCTTGGAACAAGCTGGTCTAGTGTGAGGTGTCCCTGCCCATGGCAGGGGGTTGGAACTGGATGATCTTAAGGCCCTTTCCAACCAAAACCATTCTACAATTCTATGACGTTTTGTCCTTTGAGGCAGTTTTTCCACTGTCCTTTAGATTAAGGCAATAATCAAAGCTGAGCATAAACTCACAGAGCTGCTAATTTCCAGGAGAGAAAGAACCCGAGATTTTAATGAGGCACAGAGAAACCAATTTACACACTTACAAACTCACCTGCCAAGTTGCACCCTTGCAATTTGCCAGGCACTAACTTTTTAAACAGCATCTTCTGAGGCCTTATTAAAACCATCCCAAGCTGTTTCCTGGAGAGAAAAATCAATTAGATTAAATTGCTTGTCTTGAGACACAGGTTTCCCCAAACCACGCGGAGCTTGCATTTGGCTTCAAAATCCAAGTGATGATTTCAGATCAGTAATTGCAATGATCTGCACTGTGTTTCCTTATAGAGCAAAGAAAATAGCTCACATTGAGCCATGAAGGTCCACATCCTCCTTTAGAGCACATGCAGAACTTAAAGTAGGAAATTAGAGTTTTGTGATTACAAATAAAGAAACAGATGAAATCCAGCACTGATTCTGATGGGGACTTGATCATCAGACAGATTTAGGCATTTACTAACAGTTATCAGCCTGGTGTCCCTGTTTTGCACAGTTTCCCTTCTGTCTCCCAGCACAAATGTTTCTTCTTTGGAAGTGATAAATGCTCCATCCCTGGAAGTGTTCAAGGCCAGGGTGGACAGAGACTTGGGCAACATGGTCTAGTGTGAGGCATCCCTGCCCATAGCAGGGGTTTGGAACTGGATGATCTTAAGGTCCTTTCCAACCCAAACTATTCTATGATTCTTAATGGGGCCCAGCATAATGTTGAGAGAAAAATGGTGATTGACAAATCCTGTGTTGAGCAAAAATGTGCATCACTGACTGTGAAATGGATCCCCTCGTATGAGGAACGCTTTCACACTACAGTGATCGAGGTGTGAGAGTGTAAATCCCATGGGATTCCAGGCCATGCAACTTCTACAGACAAGCAGCAAGGTCCTTTCTAGTTTTAAGATCCATGGATTTTGCCCCACAGCCTCCTGCCATGGGGCGGGACAGAGACAAGACAGTCTTGAATTTCCTCAGGGGTCTCAGAGATCCAAACTGAAACAAAGACTGAAACACTGTCAAGGAGAAAAGTCACTCAACTTGGGCATGAACTACTCAAAAACCATAGACTCACATGCTGGCTTGGGTTGGAAGGGACCTTAAAGCTCATGTCCTTAATTCACACAGAGGGGTGGGTCTGCTCCTGGATTCACCACCACTGACTGCAACTCTGAGTTCTCTCCAAAGCCCCACTGAGCCACTTCATCCTCACAGCACAACGACCTCTGCTATTCCAGTCTGCCCTTAACCCCACACAGACAGGGATATAGCTCTCCCACAAGCCATTCCTGGTGGATAGCTACATTCCCAATTACTCTCAGCTGATATGTTTTGTGACCTTACAGATGAGCTTGGCAAAGAAATGCAGAATTATTTATAGATCAGCCACTTAAATGTCACCATTTTCCCCTTCTGCATTTGCCACAGTTCTTCCTCTTTAAAAGACAACATTCTTGGATTTACTGCTTCTCCTGCAGCATCCAGTGGCAAGCTCAGCACAAAGCAGTAGTAGCACTGAGAAACGATTTAGAGTGGATATGGCAATTTCCTATGTCTTTGGGGAGGCCAATGAGCACTCTGCAGGCCAGTTTCACCATGAGGATACAGGTAATAGGAGCTGACACAAAAGAGCAGGAGATCTTAAAATTAATTAAACACAGCTTAAATTAATTAAATATCCCATAAGTATCTAAAGCCTGGATTTGTGATTAGGTTGGTGCATAGCACTAAATAACAGAAACAGTGAAGACGGCTGGTTACATCCTTTCTGGCTGCCAAAGCAGAGGGACTCTGTCTCCCATCCCCGTCTCCTCTGATCCTGCTGCTCACCTTGGTAGTTCCCTTCTATTTCCTTCAAAAACAGGGCCAGTCAACCCAATTCAACATCTGCTGATCCCAAAGCAACAGTTTTAAGCTAACACAAGCTGCCAAAACCTCACAGACTTCCTGAGAAACTCAATGGTAGGAATGATCCGGTTTTTAGTTACATAGAGTCATCACAAAGGGGAAAATTGGTCCTTTAGCTGACCAAAGAGCCCCTGCCAGTTGCAGTTGCTTCATGCAAGCAGCTGCAGCAACATTTCTAGGGTACAATGGACACTCCCCCAAGCTTTGAGATAGTTGGCCAAGGTCCTGGACATTGCTCACTTACCCTCTAGCCATAAATCTCTGCTAGCAGAAGCTCTGACCTTTTCCTATAGACATGGTTACCTCAACTGTGAGCTTACATCAGCAGCTTCTATAAGCCCTGACCTGTTGATGCCCCTGATTTATACCTGCTGAACAAATGAAGCAAAACAAATTAACAACAGCTGAATAACCAGACATGGGGCTCTGAAGAGACTTGCATTGATTTACAACAACTGAATGCTTTTCCACCTGTTGCCCATAACTGTGCTTACACTGTCTTGAGGATTTGGTTTACAGGCTTCAGAGTCATACAGTCTTTATGGCAAAAGTTATTTTTGCCATAAATATTTTTACCCAGCTGGCATAGTTTGACTTTAATTCGTTATAGTTCATCCACTATTATCCATTAGGGAGAAGTTCAAAATGCCAGATAAGTTTGGAGAGTTTGTATCTTACAACATTGAAGCATTCGCCTCAGTGAGATAAAACATGGTTCAGGCCTGTTCTCCTGTCTAGTTTTGTCTGCTTTAAAGCAGGGTGTCATTAAATATGATATGATTCTGTATGATTTCTGAAGCATACATTCTGAAATGCCTAACAAAAGCTTTTCTTTACTGAACTCATAGAATGTCAGGATGGTTTGTACTGGAAGGGACCTTCAAGCTCATCCAGTTCCAACCCCTGCCACGGGCAGGGACACCTTCCACTGGAGCAGCTTGCTCCAAGCCCCTGTGTCCAACCTGGCCTTGAGCACTGCCAGGGATGGGGCAGCCACAGCTTCTCTGGGCACCCTGGGCCAGCGCCTCAGCACCCTCCCAGGGAAGAGCTTCTGCCTCAGAGCTCATCTCAGTCTCCCTTCTGACAGGTTCAAGCCATTCCCCTTGGCCTGTCCCTACATCCCTTGTCCCAAGCCCCTCTCCAGGTTTCCTGCAGCCCCTTCAGGCACTGGAGCTGCTCTCAGGTCTCCCCTTCAGGAGCCTTCTCTTGTCCAGGCTGCCCCAGCCCAGCTCTCTCAGCCTGGCTCCAGCCCCCGCAGCAGCTCCGTGGCCTCATGCATTTTTCTTTATCTCAATTGAAATGTACCCAAGTGACCCAAAGGACATTTCAGTATTTCAACTTTCTCCCTCACAGAAGTACAAATTCACCATTAAAAATAAATATCATTGCTTGAGTCTTAAATTGGAATTAGATACTGCAGATGCAGATTGTGCAGGTATTTCTTCCATACAGAAGATGAACAGATATGGACATACAGATATGGACACGTAGCTGGTGCTGTTCCCACTCAGCTCTTTCCATACAGTGTTTCCAGGGTTTTCCCTGTGCCCTGGGCAGATCAAATACCTCGAATCAGTGCTGCAGCACAAGCAAGCACAGTGGAGATGTGGGATGTGAATATCTCACCCACCAGTAACTGGGTGCTCAGCTCCCTCTGTAGTGAAAGCTTGTATACAAGCAGATGCAGAGGACAACCTATGACCCCTAAGATGAGTTTCTAAGAAGGATGTGATTGTTTGGCTTCTGAGAGGGCTTGTTTCTTGCCTTTATTATAAAGGGAGCCAAGACAACTAGATCAGATCAAGCCACCTAATGTTTAAATAGCTTAACTTCAGAGAGATAAATCATCTCCACTGAGTTCGGAATGAGCTTGGGTGTATAGATCTCAGGCAACACTTGTACACGCTTATGGGCAGATGGCACCGACTTTTCACACTCATCCTCTCTATTTTCTTCCCTTTAAAGGCATCTTTTTCTCTATCGAGAGACCTTGACCCACTCAGGCTCCAGAATGAGACGCTGCAGTGGGATGCCTTAAATAAGGTGGGATGAATCCAATCCTGAATTAGTCTAGCACAAGGAAACTTACAATGTTCTACTGATGGCAGACACTGAACTGATGGATTTGGTGACATAATTGCTACTGTCGTAAAGGATAAAGTTTGCTGAAGGAGCACAGAAACCTCATTACTGCAAGGTGGGAATGTCAGTTGTTAAAAACACATCACAGAAGCTCCTTTCTTCTTCAGTCTTTTTCCCAAGCACTGTTATTATCTCCCCAGATATACTGCTGGATTGTGTCACTTCTTCATCTATATATCGTCCCTTGTATGATTTTAGTAACTCGCTTGTGTGAGAGAATTATGGCTTTGTTACAGCCTTTTATGTCTAAAGGAAATCCTACAATCAGTATCTCCACCGTCTTTAGCTTGCCTGTGAGCATCAGCATCAGCGGACGCAGTTACACTGTGTGTATGCACCTCTGCCATCTGATGGCTAAGCGCAGCAATAGCATGTCTAAGAGAGAGAAAATGCTTTCGCTGGATTTGTTTCTTTGAAAGTTACGCTCGCACACGGGTGAAACTGTTTAGAAGGTTTCAGTGTTTCAGCATTTATTTTCAGTATTACCAATAAAATAGATCTTCATGATTTGAGGGCTTATATTTTGTAGATACTTTGTGATACTTACTGTTTCATGCTGCTGGTTGTTGATAATGTATTATCTTGTGTTGTATATATTGAATGCGATACCATTATATATTGATTTGATGACAGAAAGATATAAAACATACTCTGTTCAAATAGCTGAGTGTGATTCTAGCTGTAAGCTGCAGCAACAGCCTGACCCAGGTTATTCCAAATGTGGATGAGCAGATTGATTTATCTCACCCAAATCTGCACCCGAAGTGAGTCCATCTGATCTCATTAGTATAAACTCCCTTTATGGTCAAAGAAAAAGGCATTTCTTGGGCACTTTTTATCTCTTAGAATAGGCACGTGCATACCCTAGGGTCCACAGACCTTGTTATACAATCATGGAATGGTTTGTGTTGGAAGGAACCTTAAGATCATCCAGCTCCAACCCCTGCCACAGGCAGGGACACCTTCCACTGGAGCAGCTTGCTCCAAGCCCCTGTGTCCAACCTGCCCTTGAACACTGCCAGGGATGGGGCAGCCACAGCTTCTCTGGGCACCCTGTGCCAGCGCCTCAGCACCCTCACAGGGAAGAGCTTCTGCCTAAGAGCTCATCTCAGTCTCCCCTCTGGCAGGTTCAAGCCATTCCCCTTGGCCTGTCCCTACATCCCTTGTCCCAAGCCCCTCTCCAGGTTTCCTGCAGCCCCTTCAGGCACTGGAGCTGCTCTCAGGTCTCCCCTTCAGGAGCCTTCTCTTCCCCAGGCTGCCCCAGCCCAGCTCTCTCAGCCTGGCTCCAGAGCAGAGCTGCTCCAGCCCTCGCAGCAGCTCCGTGGCCTCCTCTGGATTTGCTCCAACAGCTCCACATCCCTCTTGTGTTGTTGCCCCAGAGCTGGGGTCTCATTGTTAGCTAAAAGAAGATCAGACGAGCAACGTGCATGAAGCTGGTTTTACGTACTTTAGATCTCAGTTTCACGTACTTTAGATCTCAGAGAGCCACAGTGTAGAAAGCAAGAACTCACACCTTGCTCTTCAAATTGGGAAACATAACCCTATTACTCTCTCATGTGGTCTGAAATATTGCCATGCTGCTCTCTCAGGCTAAGATAAGAAAGGTGTTTGACACATAATACATGGAAAGGTAAAGAAAAAGACCAGTTCTTGCTTCTTGTGGGAAGGAATTCTGCAGTTACGCTAGTTAGTACGAAACCTGGGTTCTTCAGGTCTTAGCCATGAGTGGTGAAAGACCTGTTTCCTGTTTCCAGTTTCTCCTTTATGACAGAAGGCGAAACCTTCTGTCGTAGGTACCGCTCAATTCTGCTAGAACAGTGGATTTCAACACAGCAGAATTGCTTGTTTCCCGAATTGGGAAACAGCCCTGGTGTGCATTTCAGCAGTTCTTGTATGGCCCAAGCAGAAGCTGCTGTGTAATGGCTTGTAAGTCTTTCTGGTACAGACTGGGTTACTGCCCAGATTTCCCTGTAGATCTTTGATCTCCCAATGTCTATACATATACATAAAAGGTCCATTGTTAACCTAATTCAAGCCTTTTGTGGAGCTGCTTTTTACTTTTACACTGCTGGGAGTTAGCAAAACAGGCATAACATTATTCTGGGATTCTTAGAGTGGAATAGTCTAGTCCCAAAGTGATGCTGTGCTGAATGCAAGCCCAGTTTTAAATATAAACTGACTTTGTCTCTGCTATTTCAGATAGTTGCCAGAAAATGCCTGGAAGAAGCAGTCCAAAACCCAAGAAGCAGTCTAAAAACTAAGAGGCCTAAAGCAGAGTCCACACAGCTAATGGTTTCAGATCTGAAGGAGATTCCTTTCTTTCACCAACAGTGTGGGAAAAAGGAGTTACTCAGGCTCCAGAACTCCTTCCTAACCAGATCTTCGTGGTAACAATAGGTAATGTCTTCAGAAGGGATCTGAAATATGTTTGAACAGGTTGTAATCTCTTGCCATAGCAGAGACATGGCTTTGGTGATGGGAAGAGTCCATCCATTTCTATGAGAATCAGGGGAACATCATGGACAAAAACACTGAAGAGCAAAGACAACAGGGAGGGGGGATGTGAAGACACTGACAAAGCCCACGGTTGTTCATTTCTTTCTGATTTATAGTTCAGAGAATAGAATTATCCATGCCTTAAAAATCTCTCTTTTCTTAACAAACAGTAACAACTGTAGCGCAAGCTCTGTTGTGTAATGGTGGTTTACTCTTTTCAAGCCATGTTCAGAGGCTGCTCAATGCTCCCCACTCGAGTGGATCCAGTGCTCAAATGCTTGTCATTTAGACTTTGCTGTATTCCACAGCACAATTCCTTTTCCCTTTGAATTTCGTCCCAAACATCTGAGCTCTGCCCAGGTGAAACATCCAATCCACTCACTGCATCACGTATCTTAATGCATAACGCTATTGCTTTGTAGTCAAGAATTGGGTCCTCCTGACTTCTCTTTAACCTTGTAGAGAAGGATGTTCTAATTGTCACCAGGAGCTGCAATTCTAATTGCAAAGCTGTGTGAATAGTAAAAACCTTTACAAAGTCTCATGTGTTCTCAACAGTGAAAAATCCATTCACTGATGGACTAAGGGGACCTGAAGCCGACAAAAGAGGTGAGAGCATCTCTGCAGAAACCAAGGTTGGGTATATTTCTTAGCAGGAACTAAACATGATTTCAGATGGATTTCAGGTACTCCCTACATGTTGGATCCCAACCCTG